AAGTACCGGATGATGGTATATATACATGATGGGTTCGTGAATACAAACACCAAGAGGCTTTGATCAATGATAATTGTGTTGCCATTTACGTTTGAGAGGGAAAGAAGACGATTGGTTATGTTCATACAATGATATACATAACTGGTTTCCCTCAAAAAATTTAATCAACACTTTTAAAAACAACTTTATCAACCTGTAAATAATTGCTTAACGTGGTTTAATCAGTGAGTGGGTCATATTAGTGAATGAGTCATTTGAAATTACACTAAAATTAGGCCTTTTTGAATATTCTCATTTTAATAACTAATCATTGTTTTGAAAAAAGAAAAGAGTATTAAATAATAATAAAAAATTAGCTTTCTATAAATCTAGTTTCTATACAGATATTTCTATTATGTTCTAAAAAAAAGTAGAAATTATTACGATTTCCATTACAAAAAAGTTATTTTTATAATAACTACTATAATAATTCAAAATTTTAATAAACAAGTAGATTTTTATGATATTTATATAAATAATTATAAAATTTAGAAGAAAAAATTAAATTTTATAATCAAATAAAGAAAGTATACGATTATATTCAAATAAATTTCGTATAAGTTATAAGAACAAGTAATTCATATATTAATATAACTTATTCACTAATAAATCATGTTATATAAGTAATACTATATTAAATCGAATTAATTTATTAACAAATATATAAATCAATTGAAATAATTATATACTTTTCATTAATAACAAAATTAGAATTTTACTATACTTGTTGAACTATTAAATTACTAGAGAAAACATTCATTAAATCTATTAATCAATTATAGGTTTTATAAAAGAGGCTAATTATGTGCTTAGTCAGCGACTATACTAACGACTTTCAATAATACTTATTTGTTTATATATATAAATCGAAAATAGATTTATTATTAAAGAGATAAAGCTTTTAGTGTTTTTATTTCCCTAAATGAAATAGATATACGAAATCATTTAGAATATGATTTAAATAAATTTCATAGATTAGCTTTTCTGTATTTTAAACTTTGAGTTTTCATAATATATTTAATAACATATTTTAGATTTTATAAGATTTGAATATATAATTATATAATTATTAACATTTTAAATTTAAATAAACTACAAAATCAAAGTTCTAAAATATATTAATATTAAAAAGGATGAAGAGATTAATTAATATAATTTATTGTGTATTAAATAAAATATTTTAAAAGTAATCTTTTTTTTAATATTTAAATTTCAATAATTAATCAATATTTTTTAAAAAAGAAAAAAGATTTATTAATAAGAAAAAATCTTTTATAAGACTATTTAATTTTTAAATGAAAATTTCTATTATATTATATAAAAAGTAAAATTTATTATGATTTTCATTACAAAAAAACTATTTCTATAATAATTACTATATAAATTCAAATTTTCAATAAATAATTAAATTTTTATAATCTTTATATTATCAAATTTTATAGTTTTAAATTTTGAAAAAATATATTATTAAATAAAGAAAGTATATAATTATATACAAACGAATTTTATATATATTTAAAGTGGTTCATTTGATAATATAGCTCACTCGATGATAAACCACGTTATGTATATTATTATTACTCATGTTGAGATTATTGTTCTGAAACCTTTAGACAAGCACAGCTAAAATGTTTCACCCACAAACATGTAGTCAAGTCCTGATGGCTTAAATTGGATCGTGTCTTGACTTTATATAAATTTCATATCTCCATATTGACATCATTGTTCGTCGTATTGTGTTACAACGGATTAGTAACAGGCTGTAGAATCACTGACTTATAGGCTATAATGGTATTATAGGCCTCAGTGATTCAGCTGCAGTATACCGGGGGACACTAGGCACCCAAGGAAAGCCTCAGGCATGTATATAGTATTAGTTATAGAATACACTGAATCATAGGACATGGTTCCTAGGACAGTAGGGTCCTAAGAAGAATAAGCAATACAGGACACAGTAAGCAAGAGAGGTCTTGCTAGGATTAGTAAGCTCCCAAGGGATTAGCCCTAGGACAGGAAATAAGACAGGACGACAAGACTCACGGGACTAGTATCACGTGATGGACCATCCCATCAGTCCCACCGATTATTATCAATGGGATCAGTGGGATCCCACTACGCCCACTACTCTCAGTGAGTGGGATCGATGGGATCGCAGAGTGCAAAGGTCTATATAAGGGAAAGGGTTTCCTTACATGTAGAGCTTCGTGCTCAAGAACAATCATTAGTTTCATTACTATAGTTACGAGAATTGCAACCAGTTACAACCTTATTGAATTCCTACTTGAAGTCTAGTCTAAACCACCTCGAGAGATCTCTAGACACTTCCACGTGACCCTAGAGGCAGCTCCCGTAACATATTGATGGAAATATCTCTTTGTTAATCATCTCGCATGTTGTGTAATCAATCCTTCATGCTTGTAATCGCCCCCACAAGAGAGAATCACGATTATCTCATACTTGCAGTGGAACTTGGATTGATGATTAGTCGGTAGATAGCCTCGATTGGTTCAATATGAAGTGATTAGTTCGTGTTTTGATCGGTGACTAGTGGTGGACCAAAGATGGTCACTGGGTTTACTATACGAGACTCTACTAAGATTTGGGGTCGGAATGAAGTCATTTGATCCTTCTCCAAAGTATATAACAGTTGGAATGTTTGGGGTCTTGGCTATAGTTTTGCAGCTATTTGAGTCATCTGAGTTGCTGCACTTTCTTGAAGAATTCGTATTACTTTCTTGGTCTTTTCATCTCTCTTGCCATCACTCAAACTGGGTATCTACATCTACCACACCACGCACAACATTTTGAACCAGCAACTAAAGCTCGCGTATTAGACAGAAAGAAATCTAGGGTTTTCAAATCATTTATCCACCATGTCCGAATCCAAAAACAAGGTCCGCGTTGGAGTTGGAGTTTTCATCCTGCACCCCTCTTCTACCCCCTCAAACCCTCTATTCCTAATGGGCAAACGACTTGTTCCCCACGGCCACGACCAATGGGCTAACCCAGGAGGACACCTCGAATTCGGGGAAACACTTGAAGAATGTGCTGTCCGCGAAGTTCTTGAGGAAACAGGACTCGTACTTCAGAAAGAGAAGATGAAATTTCTTACCGCGACAAATAGTCTTATGGAAGCGGGGCCTAGAAGAGATGGGAAGGAAGGGTTGGAGGGGAAACACTATGTGGCTGTTTGGATGGTGGGAACTTGGGATGGAAAGGGAGAGGGGCCGAGAAATTTGGAGGGGGAGAAGAATGATGCGTGGGAGTGGGTGGGGCCGGAGGAGACTAGGAAGTGGGCGGGTGTAGAAGGTATGCTTTTCCAGCCAGTGCTGGATTTGTTGAGGGAGAGAGGCGAGGCGCTTGAGAGTCTTGTATAGGTGGCTGGATTTTCAGGCTGGGTGGTGCATTTAAACTTGGAGTTTGGGTCTTCTGTTGGAGCTGCTGGGGGTTGGTGTGATGACTCGATTTGGTATGAGAAATTTGTAGAGCGTAGTCTATTGTGTAGATATGAAGAGACGAGTACGTACATGTCTGAATTACCATTATGTTGTATTACGAATAGGAATTATACCATCACTTCAACTCGTAATCATGATTATCACCACAAGAAGGTCAAGTGTTCTTCATAGCATCAAATACGTCACAAATTTTGGACTGAGGCCCGGAACAGACTAACTCATTTGATGGCAACCAGCAATAGACGCATGTAAGATAGAAGTTCACACCTCGCCTATATTTTATAGCCTCATGATATCATGTGGTGAGCCAGGTCTAACTACTCCATGTAAAATGCAACAAGGATTTCAAGCCTGAGCCACGCACTGATAGCCAACAATATGCTATTGTAGCAAGAATCACACCAGGTTATGAAGAAACTACTTTAGGGCTTGTTCTATTCTAAGGTGGAATATGCAATCGATTCCCCCGCCACTCAACTGGTAACCAATACTTTGTGATGAATTGCAAATCAATCTTGTGGTTATCATTGAGAAGTAAAGTGGGGGTTTGCGACTACCTAGGCACACATTACCAATAAATCTAGTTGCCATTCCTAGACTAGTGGTCTTCCGAAAGAATTCCACTATGCAGGAACCTTGAAAGCGTTTCAATTCTAACGCTCACTGCATTTGTCGGAATTCGATAGACATGGTATAGCCAATGAAAAGGGCGTTAAAGCGGAGGAGGACCTCGTACTCGGAATCGAGTGTCGATATATAGAAATTGAAGCGACAAAGATGTCATTATCCTGGCTGTCAATATTTGCTTGTTGCTAAAGAGACGGAAATCTATTGGCATTCGGGGCAACAATCTATTGTAGGAAGTTATGGGAGGGGTCCAAATTCTGTCGGGTCGCCGCAGAGAGTGTGATTCGCGGAGATAATATGGGAGCGGGTAAAAATCCCCACCCTGGAATTACTACGCGGCAAATTGATAGATGGAAGAATTCGGCAAACAAGCAAAACTATGAGGGCCTTGGATACTTTCTATAAAGCCATGTGCATGAGATGTGTACGGGAATGAACAATAAATAATATACTGGGCAGATACATAGGCTCTCTAGAAGTCTAAGAATGCCACGCTTTCCTGCAAAATTTAAAATAGAACCATCAGTACAAAGCCAGCGGCAAGTTAAAGCGCAACTAACTGTACAATATGCTGGAAGAGAAGTGCATGTAGGTGATGGAACACATACGATGATTGCATAAAGCGCGTGGAGATCTTTCGTTTCTTTGGGGAAAGCCTGCATATCCAGCCGCGGCCTGCAGCTCTTTCAAGTGAAATTGATATCGCACTTTCAATACTAGCACATGCAGTTATAGAAACTCCAGTAAATCACAAGTCTTGCTTACCTCTTCGTAATTGAAGGGCCAATCAGTCAACCTTTCAACACACTTTCACTTGAATTTTTCCCCTGTCAGATTGTAGTGAAAGTTCCCGTCTATCTCTGATCGAACTGCAAGCTACTTCCAAACCCGAAGCATGAACTTCTGAGATTTCCCAGTGCTTGGTAGTCGCTCGTAACTCGCTATTCTAGACTAATCAAGATGCAAATATGCACAATGAAGTAGCGCTGTCACCTTGTGTATTTGGATAGCCTAGCCGCACTTGTGTAAGCCACGGGTTGAGCACCCGAGATTTGTTTCTCTTACACCAGATACCGGCTAGAAAACAGTCCATCTTCTTGAACCATGCCATATCGAAGACACGCTGAGTCGGGTTGGAATTGCGATTTACAGCAGAGCAACGTCCTATAAGCCGAAAATAAGGACCAATCTCGGAAAGAAATGACAAGAAGTCTATGTGGAGGCTGGAGCTTGGTACTCTCAGAAGTTTGTTGAAGGTTGGGCAATCCCTTTGGTGACAAGAGTAATCACTCGCCAACATTTTGGGACAAGGTAGTCGCATCTATTGCAGTTATCTGCCCGTAATGAACTTTCGAGAACACGCTCCAGCTAGAAAACTTATTGACTTGGCGTGTTGGTGGCGTTTACTGAGGTTGGCAATTACGGTGTGGTTTGATTGAAATTGGTTACTTCTTCAATCCAATGACTGCATAGGTCCAGGAAGCATTGCGGCACAGCTCTGGGCAATTTTGACTTGACTCACTTCAAGAATTTCCAAGAACGAGATTCTGAGGTTGCATAGGGTCGTTTTTTTTCTGGAGAGTTTACTATCAACGATGAGTGCCAATGGGTGTGAAATCGTATAACCCGGGAGAGCAAGAGTTGATGAAAAGAATGATCGCCCGTAGTCCGGTGGTGAGTTTGCAAGTTTTGATATAATCACGAAAGTCTCATTGCTGCTTATGAATTTTGACTAGGAAAAGAGTTTTTAGCTTCTATTTATCTCCTGGTATCGATAAGTCATGCTCATCCAGCATGAGTCACGGTCATAAAAATACTCAATGATCTGTGCCTTTAATACTTTAGCTTCGTATATGATTGACTGGTATCAAACGTCTAAATTCCCAATATTCCGTATCTCTGGACCGAAAGGAAACAACTTCGTGAATATGCCTGTGCCTGACGATGCTAGCCTCCCCTTTCATGGATTTTAAAGTGCTTTCAGGAGCTGGACTTGAAGTTCGATGTCTGTTCCTTGTAATTGCATCTCAGCCAGATGTCATGCTAATTTGGTATCTATTTCAAAGCTTCAGGATTCTGTAGTTGTCAGCGAATTCGCGGTAGTTGACTGCATTTGGACTATTCATAGAAATGCTAATGTCAATTGTCTGGGGAAGGATTTACATCAGTCGTTTCATGACCTCTTTTATCACTTGCACCTTCCACATTCAGTACTTGATCGAAATTTGTTTCATGTCTTGTTTGTCTTGGTTATTTTGATCAAATACCACCCAAGTCTCACGTAAATCTAATTCGATTCCTTCTGCTCGGAAATCTGACCACGTCATCACGAGAATTTGGATTTGATGTCACGTTATTCAGGCGGAGTAGCTATATTTATACTTTCGGAGGATTGATAACCCCACAGGTTCTATGCATGTCATGAAATTTAGTGAAATTAGTTCCATCCCCGGACACACTAACCTAATTAGTAAGACTATCGCGCGAATGTCATAAAGACGTAATATACTCCGATCGATGTTGTATAGTAAATTTCAAACGGGGAAATTGGGTTCTAACTTGCGATGAATTCGACCTACACGATCGAAATAGGAAATCAAATACTTGATTTTGTTAATTGTTTCGCTAGATTGTGTGCCAGAGTTCTTGATCCTGGTTTTAGCCTTTGAAAACTCAAGACTGTCAGTTCATGAAGTCACCCTATATGTGAGTTCTGGCCCCTGCTCACCGTACACCATAACGTTTTGTAACAGAATCTCTACAAAAAAAAATATTATGTATTAATCTAAGAGTTTGATTAGTTTATTTTATTTAGTTTTTTTAGTAATATTTTATGTAAAATTAAAATTGAAAACGTATGAAATTTTTATTTATAATATTTTATCTATATAAAACAAACAAGTTTTTGTGAAATTTTATATTTTTAATTTCTATTTTTTATAACTTATTAAAAGAAATTAATAAAAATAAAACCTTTATTTTTTAAATTACATCTTAATGATTTTGAATCAATATTTAACATTTTGAGATTTTATTTATTTAATCAAGAGTAAAAGAAAGATATTAAAAAAGAAAGAAATAGTATTTTTTAGTAGAAAAGCGTTACATACGCGGCGAGCAGGGGCTAGAACTTTTACATCTCCCCAGCATTATCTCACACTGGCATCGCTACGCGTTATGCTATCTAAGCTGCATATAATTCTTGTGAAGGAAGACTTAGGAGATGCAAATTCGCAGGAATAGACTAGATAGAGGATGAGACTTATGTAAAGAGTAAATGATAGCAATTAATCAACTAGTATCCTGTAGCACAAAGACTTTTCATTACCCACTTTAAACTATGAAAATACTACTCTGTACATTCTATAACTGTGTGCGTGCTACTGTCGGCCCGGGGTAGGTCCGAAGACCCAAACTCACGTGCCTCTTGGAGCCCTACGCAAGTCACCGTAACAACTTACTCAGTGATGTCTGAAAATTAGAGGACATCATACTTTTTTTTAGTGACTACAAATTGAGTGGTCTTGTGTCATTGATATTGAAGGGATGAATAGCTAGAAACGGTCCAGGAACCCACCTAAAGGAGATAGATTACTGTGTATGGATACAAAACACACTCAAAAAGTTCAGATCGGCATGCTAGTCAGCACCTAGATTTTGACTATCAAAAGTATCACTTTAGAGCAATGAAGACCTGACACTCTTCATACCAGCATAGAGCGATCCAACATTTCGGGGCTCAGGATAATCGATTCAGTGGAAAACTATGATGAACTGACATTATGAGACTTGAAATGAAAAGGTATAATTAAAGTTTTGAAAAGAGCTACCTTAGGAGTCCGGAAATCTTCTTCGGCTTTCGTACTGCCATTGTATCCAAAACGGTGATTATTGTCTCGAAAACTTACGGTCCGCTTAGTACGAAGGAATATTGACTAGTAAACATAAATCCTACATGATTTTGTTTCATAATCTTACACTCCTTTCGGTGCTACGTTGAATAAAGGAGCAAAGTCAATCCTTCGCTGAAGAAAGCCTCATTCTCAAAGCAACGTCAAGAAACGGTTTTGAACACCAGAGTAGAAAACGATAAAAGAAAACGCATATATAAACCCATTATATATCTTCGGAGACAAACCGTTCTCAACATCGCATCAACATCAACTTTCAGGTACATAATTTTCGAAACATACTCACAGCACACGGCTCCTCGTTGTCTTCACACTCTCATTGAAAATCAATTTTTCAAAACAAAACACCTTCCTCAGTCAAAATGAAGTTCACAATCACTGCTTTCGCCGCCATCATGGCATTCGCTCCCCTCATCTCCGCTGCTCCTGCTCCGATTTCGGCAAACGAGCCCGAGCTCGTCCGTCGCTCAAACTCAGGCGACTTGACCTACTATGATGTAGGTCTTGGTGCCTGTGGCGTGACTAACTCTGACTCCGAATTGGTCGTTGCCATGTCAGCAGGACTTATGGGAACCCAGTCCAACGGTAATCCCAACTGCGGAAAAAAGATCAAGATCACCCATGGCGGAAAGTCCGTCACCGTGAAGGTTGTTGATAAGTGCATGGGCTGCGCTATGTACGATTTGGATCTGAGCCCTGCCGCATTCAAGGCTCTTGCTCCAGAGTCTGCTGGACGCATCAAGGGAACCTGGTCTTTCGTTTAGATTGACAGACATTCAGAAATCGGCAGAGCTGTGTCAAAAGATTGATACACCTTGTAGTTTATCCCTGCTGCTGCGTGGCTAGTGATGGGTACGTGGTGTTCGCACGTGGAGGGGTGAAAATTTGTGCTTCGGGCGGAGATTTTTGCAGTATCTCATATGGTAGATCGTTTTGTTTTCGTTGGACTTTTGAGGGAGGGTTTGGATTATGGGGTTCAAATATAGGGGGAAGAAAAGGTCATCTGATGTTGTATCTATAAGGTTACTCTGGAAAAAAGAATATTTCGCAGAGGTAAATTGAATTTGCCCTACGGCATGAAATCAAGGATTCGATTCCATTCATTTCGCGATGGTGACTTTGAATTTTCCATTGTGGCGTGACTGTTTAGGCTCTAGCGATGCATAAGAAATCCAAAGAGGTAACTTCAACGGCACAGCAATGGCTATAGCCTAGGAACTCATCACCAACATTGAACCAAAATGGTGAGAAGGTGCGATAATTTCATTGATGCAGGAACAGAAATTCCGTGTTCCAAAATTGAGATATACGGGCTGACGTTTTGGAATCTCGGTTATTAATCCGCGGATGAAGGGGCTTCATTGGTGAACCACTATTTCGGGCCCGGAAAGCCTGAATACACTTCCGGGGTTAAACAAAATGCAAGTAAATACAATTTCGGGGCTGGCTGGAAAACTGTAGCAAACCCTCGCTATAGGGATAAAATCATCTATTCTTGTCATCGACCTTTTCAACTGGATAGTCTTGGCATAATATTAAAACGATTACATCTAATTGAACATCCGACTACATCCGAGCCAAATCCCGATCTCGGGGTCCTGATTTATGCAAAATAAGGATGACTTGAAGAAAGAAAATGTCTGGAAATGAAACATCTTCAAGATGAGCCTTATAGCCGATCCTTGATGCGGGGTTTTGCTTTATGGGGTGCAACCTATGCACCTAGTACATTATCTCACAAGGCCATGGTGGGCCCTCAATTTTGAGACATGTTTTTCTAGCGAAACATAATGTAATGATCCCGAAACTATATTGACATGAAGGACCAAGGAATTCCGATCGCGATAAATTTGGGGATACTCGGGGCAACTCTAACCTTGATCGGCAAAACTCTAGTACGTTCTTGGAGTTTTGAGCAGATAATCTTCAAGCATTTTTAAGGATCTACCGGATGAATTTCTGCTTGTGGGCATTAATGCAGTACCACATATCACTATCGCTGCAGCTCTCATGTCGGGAGCGTCTGAAAGAGCAGTGGAAAACCAAGCCAATTAAATTTAATAAATCTAACTATGCTTTTTATAATATAACCTCTATAAAAAGATTAAAGACATGTAATCTAATCAGAAAACTATTATTTTTAATAAATATTAATTAAATAAGTTAATATTATTATAATATTAAGAGGACTAATTATAAT